CCGCCCGAAAGGGGGAATTTTTTCAGGCTCCAGGTATATGAAATAGAAAAGAATTTGCGAATTAATTATGTAGAGAGGTAGAAATATGACTTTATCATTTGATCGCTTCGATGAAACCAGCGTTATCATCGGCTAGGTCATTTCAATTTATTGCTGCCAAGAAGACTTTCGGTCACTAAGTAAACATATTCTCTTGTATGTTGAAGGGGTACTATTTTTCAATGGAAAGAAAAGGTCTACCTTTTGTGTTAGGGTAAGGGGCCGGCCGGCCGGACCTCGGGTTGGAGCCCTCTCGTATGGGACTTTGTTGAGAGATTTCCCAGTTTCTTTTTTTTTATACTTACGAAGGCTAACCCGCATTAAACGATTGTATTTGCTTTGAAGTTTGTTTTGCCTTGCTGCACCTGTTGTGCCTTATTTTGGGTTTGTTTTTTACACATTAATTTTAAAGGAAATTACAGTGACTCACTGAGGGATGCAAAAGATGCCACTGACATACGGCCATTGTTGGTAAAAGCCATGGTAACAGGTAATTGTAATGTTACCCTAGTCTCGTTTAGAAACAGTGATAGGTTTACCGTGATAATGTCATTACGTTCAAAGACAAGAGTTCGCATCATCAGGATCTGAGACACAGCGCCCTTGCGTATTTCATGGTTTGGTTTTAGAAAGATTTTTGAGACTGAAATTTAGGGGTTTAATTAGTTTTAGTCTCAACGTGGTAGTTATAGTGTCCATGTTTACGGTTGCTTGAAAAAGGGAGTATAAAGCGTATAGCGTATTTAGTAAGAGTATAGACAAAAGAAATCAGACGCAATTTGTTTTTCTCTATCTCTTGGGCTCGATTTTCCAAGAAACTTTGCCGGAAAGAGGACCTAATAATTGTTAATGTTATTGTAAAAAAAAAGCCAAATAGACAGTAATTTGATGGTGCACACTCCTATGGACTATTAGAAATAACGTGAACAAAATGTTCAAAACTTTGCAGTGAAACCACTCATCTGCGGCTCGTGATTTCACTTGAGTTTTGAACGTTGTGAGGTCACTTCTATGGTCAGGAACCCACAGTAGTCATGGGTTCCTGCTATGGTTCATAGCAGTGTTGACCATGGAAAATTGTTGTCCGCGAGCGTTTGTTAATTTCTTATCAGAAACTGATGGATACGCCCAAGGGATGCCAGATTTGAGGGAGCTTTACTGTATGCTGCAGTTTTACTGAATTATATATTTACATATTTCAGGAGCTAAAGCCTCTCTGAAGATGAATATGCCTGAAAAGGTGATCGCGTGGTGTGAAAGAGGATTAGAAGTATCCTTATGTTCATACTTTTTAAGTCCATAGTAAAAAGGTGTTGCAGCGTACTATACGCATCACCATACATTCCCGGTTATAAAATAATGTTAAAATGCTGCGAATTTCTTCACCCCTTCCTTCCCTACGATCTAGGTTGCAAAAAGAATTGTGTGTTTTCTCGCCTTCTTTGATTCATATGTGGAAGTAAAAGCAGGAAAAAGATAAGTCACTTTTCAAACATAGATGTACATGCCTGTTATAGACTAACCTCTCTTTTGAGTAAAGGAAGCATGGAGGAAGGCCAAGGTCAACTCTAGTTTTATTGTTAAAACCTTAACAATTTTTTAAGATTGACAAGGAAAACCAAACCTTGCTGGAGCTGAGGAAACGTGCGTTAACATGCGCAGAAAAAGAAAACACTCGTTTAGGAAATACAGTCATCGACAAAAAGGTGTCTTTCTTTAACATAAACGTTTTTGTTTGATTGTATGCCATATAGAAGTTCTCTTCATATTTGACAAAGCTGAGTTTAGTCAAAGGGAAAACTTTGTAAAAAGTAGCAAAAACAGTGGGAGGGGCGTTAAAAAAATTGGATGTGGCCCCACGGCGGAAAGCGGAGATTTTTTGTATTTTTTTGTGTGGTGGGGGGGGGGGGGGGTGAGGGGTACATTTCTGCTCCCCACCATACAAACGTCTGTAAAATTTCACCACTTTGCGGCGGTGCTATATCTTCCATAGTTTTCAAAAAATCACTATCAAACTTGGCAATTTTACTAATTTTAATTGAAAAAACCGTGAAAGGGTCTGTTGACTGTAACTTTAGAATAGCAACTGGGCGAAAGATTGCTTGAGATTACCGAGAACAACCAAGGCAAAATACACGGACCGAACCAGATCAGGAGAATGAAACAAGCTGAAAATTCATAAAAAATTAGCGGCAAGTGAGCAACTGACTGATTGAATCTACCTCTCTCTTCTTCTACTCACACCATGAGCTAAAAATAAAATGTAGAATGGTTGAAGGTAGTACGGTAACATATCAACACGTTCAACACGTACTGTTAAAGATACTTCAATTTGCTTCATTTTCAGGAATTGCAGAGGTTTTCAATGATGAAGGCAGTAAAGGTTGCGACAAAAGAGACTACAGCTACGCCGTTTACTTTTACACTGAGGGGATTAAAGTGAATTGCAAGGACAAGGATCTGATGGCTGAACTGTACAGCAACAGAGCACATGCACACCTTTGTTTGGGTGAGTCTGTTTGTATTTTCCAGGGTTTAGTAGGTTGCGTACTTGTAGGACTTTCAATTAATTGCTATCAGGTGTTGTGCTTGTTCAAAGCCCTCACTGTTGTTTGGATACAAAAAGGAACACTGATAAGGTGTTGTTTCATTGATTGACCAGGCCTGTTGACAACACAAGATAAGAGAAGAAAATATTTTATTTGGAGTCTTATACAAGCTAGTTCATAAAAGTTTTGAATTTCCAAATGATTCAAAATTACAAAATATACTGGTCATTGATTCATTACACTACGATACGCGGGGGTGGGGGGGGGGGGGGGGGGGGGGGAGGCATTTTGTGGGGGGGGAGGGCCCGCCGGGGGGGGGGGGATTTTTTAGGCTCCCGGAGTTTGAAAAAAAAAAAAATTTGTGATTTTATAATGTTGGGAGGTGGAAATATATTATTTTTATTTCAGCTACGTTTTTGTTTGATTGTATGCCATATAGAAGTTCTCTTCATATTTGACAAAGCTGAGTTTAGTCAAAGGGAAAACTTTGTTGAGGCGATTGGTGTGGCGGATTTAGTCCTATCTTTTGGCTGGAGTTTAACCACACATGAAGATCAATCGTCATTCTCTAATAAGCTTCCGCAGATGTAATTTACTAATATGACGTTAATAGATCGCGCAGAGGGTTCAGATAGATGAGCTAAGGGAGCCCATGGAAGCCAATAAGGCTTACGACAAAAAGGGTATTTTTTTCATCTTAACTGAAAATATAACTTGCTGTCTAAGTTACATTTGTGAACGGTTTAAATGAATTGCTACTGGCTACAATCTTTGGAAGACGTCGTGGCCCGTTTTTCGTACGAGACGTAAATACAAACATAAGACAACATTAACCTAGTCCCCAGGCCTCATTATTCCGCGCGGCCAATGCGTTTCAGGTCATGTGGTACGAACGAGTTCGAACGAGTCTGAACGTTATTTGTCTAGCTTACGTCACCGAAATTTATTGACCGAGAACAGACTAGGCAAAGAGAGCAACGAGAACAATCGATATATCAGTTGTTTTGGTATTTAAGTGCCAATGTAGCTTTGGTAATCTACTTCAAAAATTCTCTTGAAACTAAGTGATCACAATTTGGGCCCAAAACTCTTTCAAGTTTTAGCCCCTGACTCTATGTTACTCCATGCTACACCTGAAAATCAAACTATTTTGGCAGCAATTTTAAGTTAAAAAACAATTAAAAATGATAATAAAACAGTCGCAACTTGGGACTTCAAGAATTTTTATGAATTAACAGTTAGCTACAGCTTGCATTATACTTTCTCACCAGCTTTTTCATGTCACACACGTTTTCTCTAGAATGATCTCCGTACGTTTCCGGAAGGAATTAGTTATAAGAATTTGATAAGAGATCTAAGCATTTCCCCTTTGGTGATTATTCAATTTATAAATTTTTATAACCTGTTGTCTTGATGAAGTATTGATAATGTTGAGAGAAAAAAAATTTGCTTCCATTGCATAATCTCGACCATTATTATTATTATTACTAATTAAGATATTGCTTAAATTTTCTAGTCTTTCCAAAAAAGCAAAAGCAAACAAGGACTACACAGCAGCGCTTTCAAAGAGGATGGCGTGGACAGTTATGACCTTGCAATCAAAGCATTCAAAAGAGGTGATTTTAGAGCAGCCCGGGATTATTTTGAGTTAGAATTTAAGCAGGCCAAAAAGAACAAAGAAAGGGATAGGGAATGCAAAGCATGTATAAACCTTGGCAGTACTTATGGCTCTCTCGGGCAGTTCCAAAAAGCAATCGAACTCTTTCAGCGGGCTCTTGGTATCGCAGAAGAGACTGGCAACAAAGATTCAGAAGGAACAACATATGGAGGCCTTGGTGCTGCTTATCACTCTCTCGGGCAGTTCCGAAAAGCAATCGAATTCTTTCAGCGGGCTCTTGGTATCGCAGAAGAGACTGGCAACAAAGATTCAGAAGGAACAACATATGGAAGGCTTGGTGCTGCTTATCACTCTCTCGGGCAGTTCCGAAAAGCAATCGAATTCTTTCAGCGGGCTCTTGGTATCGCAGAAGAGACTGGCAACAAAGATTCAGAAGGAACAACATATGGAAGGCTTGGTGCTGCTTATCACTCTCTCGGGCAGTTCCGAAAAGCAATCGAATTCTTTCAGCGGGCTCTTGGTATCGCAGAAGAGACTGGCAACAAAGATTCAGAAGGAACAACATATGGAAGGCTTGGTGCTGCTTATCACTCTCTCGGGCAGTTCCGAAAAGCAATCGAATTCTTTCAGCGGGCTCTTGGTATCGCAGAAGAGACTGGCAACAAAGATTCAGAAGGAACAACATATGGAAGGCTTGGTGCTGCTTATCACTCTCTCGGGCAGTTCCGAAAAGCAATCGAATTCTTTCAGCGGGCTCTTGGTATCGCAGAAGAGACTGGCAACAAAGATTCAGAAGGAACAACATATGGAAGGCTTGGTGCTGCTTATCACTCTCTCGGGCAGTTCCGAAAAGCAATCGAATTCTTTCAGCGGGCTCTTGGTATCGCAGAAGAGACTGGCAACAAAGATTCAGAAGGAACAACATATGGAAGGCTTGGTGCTGCTTATCACTCTCTCGGGCAGTTCCGAAAAGCAATCGAATTCTTTCAGCGGGCTCTTGGTATCGCAGAAGAGACTGGCAACAAAGATTCAGAAGGAACAACATATGGAAGGCTTGGTGCTGCTTATCACTCTCTCGGGCAGTTCCGAAAAGCAATCGAATTCTTTCAGCGGGCTCTTGGTATCGCAGAAGAGACTGGCAACAAAGATTCAGAAGGAACAACATATGGAAAGCTTGGTGCTGCTTATCACTCTCTCGGGCAGTTCCGAAAAGCAATCGAATTCTTTCAGCGGGCTCTTGGTATCGCAGAAGAGACTGGCAACAAAGATTCAGAAGGAACAACATATGGAGGCCTTGGTGGTGCTTATCACTCTCTCGGGCAGTTCCGAAAAGCAATCGAATTCTTTCAGCGGGCTCTTGGTGTCGCAGAAGAGACTGGCAACAAAGATTCAGAAGGAATAACATATGGAGGCCTTGGTGCTGCTTATCACTCTCTCGGGCAGTTCCGAAAAGCAATCGAATTCTTTCAGCGGGCTCTTGGTATCGCAGAAGAGACTGGAAATAAAGATTCAGAAGGAACAGCATATAGTTACCTTGGTGATGCTCATTGCTCTCTCGGGCAGTTCCGAAAAGCAATCGAACTCTGTCAGCTGGCTCTTCGTATCGCGAGAAAGACTGGAAACAAAGATTTAGAAGGAGAGGCATGTAAAACCCTTGCTTTTGCTTACTACTCTCTTCGGCAGTTTCAAAACGCAATCGAGTTATGTGAACGGGCTCTTGGTATCGCAAAAGATACTGGAAGCAAAGATTTAGAAGCAACAACAAATGGGAACCTTGGTCGTTTTCATCTCTATCTCGGTAACGTCGAAAAGGCATTCGAATTCTTTCAGCAGTCTCTTAAAATCGCAAAAGATACTGGAAAAAAACATGTAGAAGGAGCGGCATATGGGTGCCTTGGTGAATTCTATGCCTTTCTTAGGGATTTCAAAAAAGCATTCAAGCTCCTTCAGTATGCTCTTAGTATCGGAAAAGAGACTGGAGACAAACAAGCGGAACGTTTTGCATACAAAAAACTTGGGATGGTTTTCCTGAAATTCCCCGGCGATTTTTCCAGAGCTGAGGAGCATTTCAAGTCAAGTATCAAACTGCTAGAAGAAATGAGGGATCTTCTGCAAGACAACGACGAATGGAAAATCAGTTTTCGAGGTCGATATAGCGTTTATAAAAATTTATGGTGTCTTCAATTACTTCAGGGCAAGACCGTGGAGGCCTTTTTTACAGCTGAGCGGGGACGAGCACAAGCTCTCACGGATCTCATGAAATCAAGATACAGCGTTGAATTAACTCAGTTATCGTCGGAGGAGCAGATGGAAAGAATATCCTGCATTTCAACCCACATTTCATCACCTACGATATTTATCGCGGAGGTCCCAGAAAAATCAGTGAATTTCTGGTTGCTACTGAAGGGTCAGCAGTGTCAGTTTGTGCGAAAGAAAACCAATCAGTCCTTGGTTTGTTTGATTGAGAAAGCATATAAACAATTGAAGGTTGGTAAACCTGTCAGGTGCGAAGATCGTTCCTTGGATGGAATAGAAGATGAAGAGATCGGGGAGTCATCCGACAGGGGTACAAATGAGGAAGAATCAACTTCACCACAAGAGGGTGATGATGCATTGAAAAAGTTGTATGATATCATTTCTCCGTGTTTACACTTGATAAATGGTAATGAACTTGTTATTGTCCCTGATGGAGCATCATTCTTGATTCCTTACGCTGCCCTTGTGGACCAGAATGGCAGGTATTTGTCTGAAACGCTGAGAATTCGATTGGCTCCATCTGTGACCGGCTTAATGCTGCTGGAAGAGTGTCCGAAGGAAGGCCATAGTACATCTGGTGTACTGCTCGTAGGTGATCCATGTGTGGAAACCGTTCGCTTAGGCCGCAAAAAATTTGCGCAGCTCCCTTGGGCCGAGAAAGAGGTGAAAATGCTTGCAAAAATGTTAAACGTTCAGCCTCTTACAAGAAAGAACGCTACCAAGGAACGAGTATTAAGCAGACTCGAGTCAGTTTCCTTGGTGCACATTGCAGCTCATGGTCGTTCAGAAACCGGTGAAATTCTTTTGTCTCCTAATCATGCTAGTCCCGAAAGACCCAAAGAGCAGGACTTTCTCTTGACAATGGAAGATGTGCTAAAGGCAAAGTTGCGTGCTAAGCTTGTTGTCTTAAGCTGCTCTCACACTGGGAAAGGGAAGATCTGTGCTGAAGGAGTAGTTGGTATTGCACGCGCTTTTCTGGGGGCCGGTGCCCGTTCTGTTATTGCGTCACTGTGGGCAATAGAAGACAAAGCCACTATGGAGTTTATGAGAAACTTCTACGAACATTTGATTGCAGGGCATAGCGCAAGTAAGTCTCTCAATCAGGCCATGAAATTAGTGCGGGAGTCTGGTGAATTCAATGAAGTGAGGCAATGGGCGTCGTTTGTGCTGATCGGTGATGACGTGACATTTGATTTCTCATTATTGGTCAATGAAGGTAAGATTCTCACACCGAGTTGAGATAGAATGATGATCACGTGGTTAAGATTCTTAGACGAAAAAGTGCTTTAATCCTAAACCCTTTGATTTCTAGTCCTTGATCCTTAGACTGGAAATGAAACCGGAGTTTCGTTAACAACTCTCTTTTGAGAAACAAACAACTACTCGAAGAATACTCTGTTTAATGCAGAGATGAATGAGTTTGAAATGTTTGAACTACAAGAGGAGGCTAAATAACAACTTTTCACGCAACAATATTCCAGATCGGTGTAGTTCGTTAGCAAGGGAGGGAGGAAGGAGTTAGGTGACTTTGTTTGAACTAGAATTTTTTTCCAAGGCCATTCCTGTGATCACGTTTTTTCCTAATTTTTGGTGTAAATATTTGACTATTGACTCAACTTAAGTATTAACTTGTTTCGTTTCAACTCTCCCCCAACCCTTCGAAAGTTCGACAGCCAAATGGTCGTCCACTAATAAACACTGCTTATACTTATCACTGCGCCACCGTTGCTACTAGACAAGCCTTTGTACAATATCTTGTTGCCTCGTAGTATTTTAATAGATTGATGGCTCTACATATTGCAGAACCAGTCAAAATCCAAGATGTCCCCAAGTCGGAGTCCTGCGTTCTGACAAGTTTCATTTCTATTCCTTTCATATTTTTCAGTGAATTTCTCGGAATCTGCCTCCCAGACATCTTGGATTTTGATTGGATCTGTAGTGGGGTTAGGCTCGATTACCAGCCGCTGTTCGGGAAATGAGCCCGCGCGAGAGAGCAGCGGAAATCGAGCCCAGCCTCGTCCCCAGGGTCTTGTCGTTTTCCTACCAACGCCATATTGGAAAACGAGAAGACCCTGGGGACGAGGTTGAAATCGAGCCTACAGAGGGGTATGAAAATCATGGAAGCTGTCAAAACTTATAAAAGACCGCGCGTTAAAACGCCAACACCTTTTTCTTTCTCTCTTTCAGCTATTTCCCAGCCAAGCAAGGGGACGGATCATTAGTCTCTGCTGAGTTTATCCGTCGCTGTTTACGCGTTCAGGGGATAAAGCCAAACAGCGAACCAAGACATTAATTTTAGTGTATATAGCAAAAGAGAGCGAACGGCTTTCAGAAACGACAGCTCATCTATATAAACATATTAGAATTAAAGCAATTCCGGCTGTGTATTTTTTAGTTCTCCTGTACAAACAGAGGGGAGTAAAAAATTCATTATTTTATCTAATCATGTGTTTTGTCCTTTTTACAGTTGTAAATATTTTTAGCTGGATGCTGCGTATCAAAAAAAAGTAAAATTCAAGTTTTTCCTCAGATTATTTGCATGTCAAGTCTTCTCAAACCTTTTTATGTAATAACCTTAATTTTCAATATTTTTTATCAGGACAGAAAGTAAGCAATAAAGTATATTCAGCAATGACACATTTTGGTCTTGTACAAATCATTGAATTATCGAACAACTTGTTACTGCCAGAGAAAAATTAAGAACTCAACTGTCTTTGAGACAGACATACTGATTTTTAATGGCTGCAAATCGTATTGATATTACCCCTGTGCTGATCAGATTATATTTCTTTCACAGTATTCGAAAATATAGGACGATAGCTTGATTGAACAAATTTCCAAATTTTACTGACTTCGAAGTTCACTGATTTTTCGTCATGCATGTTTGCCAAAACCTGCATCTGGACTAACCACAATCCCAATGGAGTTAGTCGCCGATAGCCGTGAAAACTCGACAAGGAAGGACATCTTTAACAACTTATTTTGGAATCTGAGTGATGCGTTTTAGATTTCTAAAAAGATAACAAATGGCGTACATAGCCCCATAAAAGCACAAAATGTGGTAGAAGAAATCCTTTTCTACAAATGAGTTGAGTTTATTAGCCTGCGTAGAAGCGTTTGATCCGTGCGAGCTCGTCAAGTTCGTCTTTTGTTTTCGTTCCAACTTTCGCGGAGTAGCTCGAGTCGATGATTGAGAGCCGGACAATCGATTATTGGTGTTAAGCATGATTTGGGGGAGTTGTCATAGGACGTTTGCGTGAACGTAAAAACCTTGCGACCATTGCTGGATGTTTTTCAGGAATTTAAGGCCAGGTGATCCTTGTTTTCTTCATAAGTTACGGTCGAGGACAAAATTCTCGAGGGGCCATATTTTTGTTGCCGTTAACTTGGCCAACGTTAGCCCGAGAAAACAGCGGACATTTGAAGACGTTCTACTGGTTTCC